CATGGACTCCATCACGGAGTGTTCCTTGCGGAATCTCACAATGCCGATGCTGAGGTGCTGCCTGTTGGATAGCCATTTAATATTGATTACGCGGGTGATCTTGTCTTGCTGTTTAACAATGCTGTGGTGGCCCAGTCAACCTTGAATAGACCAACTAGAGTGGTCCCATCATTTTGTTGTGCATACCAGCACACCGACTCCCGCGACGTGCGTTATTTGCACGACCGGGGTCTGGATAAAAGAGAAAGAAAGGCATCAGCAGTACACCGCTACAGTACCGACGCTTCGTTGCCGTGCAACCACCACCGATTGCACGTGGGCTAAGGATGCTTCGAGGGTCGCCATGCCCCTATGCAAACTCGAACCCGCGCCCTCCAATTACAAGACAAGCTCGTTGTCTTTAGGCCAAACGATGACTTAGTCATGAGGAGTGAAGGCCCTCACTTCGGACTTTGCGTCCGTTGGTGTTTGGCGACTGCCATGCTAGCGTATTGCTGCACAGTCAGCTTAATCGTATTTCCCACTTTCAGCTACTGTGTAAGGTGTGTGTATATTTTGTCCCATCAGTTAGCATGCCCTCCGCAGCTTCAAAGTACCAGGTGTTGCAAAACATCAGCCACTTGACGACCCCTTGACTCTTGATAACGAGGATATCGATGTATTTGATCAATCTGCTTACCTTGGCTGCTGTATGAGCAACCATGAGCACATAGGCACTGAAGTTGGTTCAGATATTGCAGAAGCTAGGACTACCTTCTTGTATCTGCAACATCCGTGGTGTCAGAAGGGGGTTTCCTTCGGTCTGAAAAGCCGATTTAACAAAACCACATTGAGGGCCGTCCTACTCTATGGGACTGAGGCTTGTCCCCTTCTGTCTGAGGATTCGAAGCGTCTGCGAAACATTGCTGGTGCCGGATAGCATTAGGCTACAGATAGTACTGAATAAGTCACGTTGGCTTGGGCACCTGCTACGTATGTCCGGTCAAAACTTACCGATGAGGGCTTTGTTTTGTTTGCCAGATGTATGTTGGCTCAAGGCTCGATGTAGGCAAAAGTTAAACGGGCAGAGAGAATTGAAGTCACTAATGACAAAACTTGGTGCTGTTAGTCCTTATCGCCCTACAGGCTTGAGTCCATGTGACCCGCTTTGTGCTTTTCTCTAGACGTTATCAGACGGCTCGAAATCGTCGTCAGTGGCGCTTCTGTTGTCGTCTCTTAATCAGACCGCCTGTTTAGATTGCGTTTGGTGCTGACTTACCTGTGGGGTAGTGGTTGACTATGACAGGGGGCAGTAAAAGTCGCAAGGAAGCTCTTTACCTGATACCGGTTTATCTCTGCACAATGTCCAGCTGTTTCTGACGGTACTTTGTTGACATTGTGTAGGCGCCTTGACCCTGAATGTGTGCTTGGGAGCTGAAGTTTTATGCTCGGTCCCTCTTCTCTCCATGTCATTATTCTTCGTTCCGTAGGTCACTTGGTTGTACGACAGCGAAGCATCGGACTAAATGGCCGATGTACTGCTGTTGATAATGATGATTGGAGGGAGCACGTGCGCAAGTGCTTGTCGGATAAGTATGTGTGAAATTTTGCCGCACACTTGACAAAACGTTTGCAGAGGAAAATATGGATTGCACGCAGTTTGAGCGCTGTAAACACGACAGAAAACATATCTGTGATGATCTCATGTCTGTACTACCACATCAACTGACGATGACCATGTCGAGAGTGTTCGTTCTGTAACCCTTGGAAATCGTCTTTCAACTGTGCGAGGAGTTGCTGACAAAGTTGACATCAGCATAGGATCATGTCATCAAATTTTGGTTGACAACTATAACAATCGTCGTTTTAGTGCAAAATTCGTGCCTCTTGTGTTGACCGATGACCAAAAACAGCCGTGCTGAAATCATCCAAGAATTGCTTGCTGCTGCCAATGACAATAAAGCTTCATTGGGAACATCATAACAGGCGATGAGATGTGGGTTTATGGCTATGCTATTGAAACGAAGATGTGTTCGTCGCAATGGATGGACAGTCTCGTCCGACAAAAAGTACGCATGAGTCTATCTAATATTAAGGTGATTTCGGTCGTGTATTTTGACTGCAAATGCATCATGCATCAGGAATTTATACCACTTGGTAATATGGTAACCAAAGAAGTCTACCATGGAATTATGGCGCGTCTAAGGATGTATGCGGAGAAAGGCTTGAGCTGTAGGAACTTCAGACTTGGGTGTTGTACCATAATAGTGCGCCGGCTCACGCATCGCTCGTTGTTTACAGCCATTTAACAATACCTCAAACTTCCACTATGCCCCATCTACCGTATTCCCCGGACCTGGCCCCGGAAGACTTTCCTGTTTCACAAACTTAAAACCATGTTAAAAGGACGTCTTTTCTAAGCCATAGGGGGATTCAAGACACTTCGGCCCGAGGCCTGTGTGCCATTCCAGGAAGTGCGTTCCAGAAGACTTTCTAAAACTGGAAGCACCGTTGACAGCGGTGTATTGCCAGCAGGGGGACTGCTTAAAATCTACAATGAGCAGTAGAGTTACCGCAGCAAAATTCAGCTTCTGTTTGAATACATCGCCATGCTAGCAATTAGTAGTACGGTGGGGCGTGGTTTTGTTAAGTTGACCGCCAGTACCTCTGTCAATAAAAGCGATTCCAAAGAGCAAGGACAATTAGTAGGAATTCGTGGCTTCACTTACTCATATATGTGTATGCGTAAAGCTTCCTGTTGCTCACGTTGCTGAGAAAGTTTGACTTTGAAGACGCTACCCTCGTATCTACCCGACTCGCCGTGCAGCAGTGCAGTTACCATATCGCAGACCATTGGAAACCGCTAACCAAGTTCTGCCTTTATCGAGGTGTCCAACCACTCGGATCGAAGGCCATCAAACTTCGCCACATCTCAATACCGTTAACAGCCACGTGACTCAAATACCCTCTTCGCGTCCGATCGCAGTTTAACACTGAAACTGCCCTCCGTTATGTGCTCACCTCTCGTGCCAGATTTGAGTGGTCGGGGACTAATGAACCGGACATATCGGTTTGATTGCGTCGTACGTGTATTTAATAGAGAGCCAGGCAATCAACGCCGAACCCCTCACTTTCTGTGGTGCTGCCGCTACTCGTCCGCAACTGCTTATTCATTTCGCCTGCGAAGTAAAGTAATCTTAATCACAGTCATCTCTACAAGGTAGCTATTTCTTAATCCGCAACTTGGGTACGCGCCCGATAAGTTACAGCTCCGTCAAGAACCATGGAAACGATACGGATATCGGTGGGTCAGAGTTACTAACAAATGAGCGGTTGGCGTGATAAAGATGCATGAGTATAGGATGCAGAGGCAGTTGAGAACAACATGGCGGTAGAACATTCCACGGCTTCGTCAGAAGGCGTGTTACTACCCATCTGCCCGAGCCGAAGTAAGGAACTGACCTAGGCCACATGTGTATGATGATGATGATGAGGCCACATGGGCTGTCGTTTACTTGCAAGACTTCGGAGCGAAGTCAGGAAATTCTGCTCTTCGGCAGCAGGTTCGGTGAGTTACTAAACTAGGGATAGATCCCTACCATGGTATCAAATCGTCTGAAGTACGATGCTCTGGCAAAGCTCATTAGACAGACATTGTGGTGGCTTGCAAAAGTCTTAGCTCCGGGGGCCGGCTCAGTCCTCTTCACCATTCTAACTTGTATGACGAAAGATGAGCAGCGCTATGTCGCAGTTAGAAATCAGTCGTGGTGATCTGCTGCCGCCACTAATGGCTCAGTCGCGTAGGTCGCTGACTTGTAAGAGTAGGGTCATGATTTTGTATCCGGTGGGACTGATGGATACACGCTACTGACGAGTCCTAATAGAGCGAAACTGCTGTCTGCCGCTTCCCTGAATGTGTGGTGTGGCTGTCTGGCTGAGTCTAGCTGCGAGCTTTATTCGCAAAAGACTTTGTAGCCTACAGGGACTACATTTGTCCGGTGGAAACTCACCGCCTGGAACGCTCCTGTTGAACCAATAGCTGGAACGAAATAAATCTGAGTCTGTCAGATGACACCTTGGAAAGATAGTTCGGCGAAGCAGTGTCGATATAATACTGGTGTCTTGAAAATATATTCATGACTCAGAGCAATTTGAGATGAGAAGTAGAACTGCAACTCCGTGACCGCATATCATGCTATAGGCTATCTGACCACCGAGTTGTCCATTCAGGATGCTGCTGTCTACGACATTCTTGTTCGTTCGGCTGGCGATCAATAGACTAGTATGTGAGCATAAGACTTGATAAACCGGGTTCAGTATAATTTGTGCAACTCGCATCACTTACCATACATTAGCTGTCTTTCTCTAGGTAAGGGGTCATCTTAACATCTTTGCGATCCTCAGTTGGTCCATCTAGCACTTTAATATCCGAATCATAACTAGCTTAACTAAACGGCATTTTTTGGATCCTGAACACTTTATCACCGTAATAAGTCAAGGCATAAGCAGTACGCCGGCACACCGCGTCGACGCTTCGTTCCCACGCGACCATCCGGACGCGCGTAGGCTGGGTATACCATGAGGTCGCTTTCACCTACGCGAATTTTGTCGGCTGGTCGTCGACAACCTTATGGAACGCTTCACGGTTTTGTTTATCACTCTTGCCCCGGGAGCAATGCTAATCTTCTCGGTTAGCTTCCGACCTTAGTATATATGTACCACCGTAAACATCTTTGGCTAGCGGTCTACATTCGTTTTATACAAATGCGCTCAGTTGCATATGCAGTCTCGGTTGCTATGTGACGTGCTTTCTGCAACTATACTGATTAGTTAAAGTCTAATGCAATTTGTCCACTTCCGTTGTATTCGGTAATCAAACATTTTTAACTAAGGCCTTATCAGTACCGAGTTTATGAATTTCCTTACAGTACTTTCTGGATTACTGTAGAGATGGATTTTCTTACCTAACTATTTGACCGGTACTTGATATTACTGACCAGCTTATCTTGCTCTTCGTTTAGTTCTCCTCCTTGGACGTGTCTGGCTCTCGTCCCAGAGAATCATCAGACTCTGCCAATCTTTATGTCCCTCCGCCTCTTCGTAATCGGGACCTAGCAAACGGTCCTTCAATAGGCCATTCTTTCGACAGCCAAGGTCCACGTTTCCCACGTGGAGGTGGAGGTGATAGCCTCCGGGGTAGATCAAGTCGCGGTGGTTACGGAAATCGCGGATTCAATACAGATCGCAGTCAAAACGATTTCCGGCCCTCGGGGTTCAATGCCGATCGTGGTCAAAGTGATAACCGACCCTCAAGTTACACTAACCAGCAAGTGATTCATTTCTTAACGGGCGTTTTCTTAGGTTCGGTTCAAGGGGGCTCAGTTCTGGTGCATCTGGTTCGCGAGGTGGGCGCAGTTGGGGAAGTGACAGTACCGAGGATTGGTCCAGACAGCTCCCTCCTAATGAACGTTTAGAGCAAGAGCTGTTCAAAAAAATCAAAACGGGCATCAATTTCGACCAGTATGACAACATACCCGTCAGTGCGACTGGTCCAGACTTCAGCGAGGCTTCCACTTTAATCTCCTCGTTTTCCGATCTTTCTCTTCATCGGATTATTAGAAACAACGTTGACCTGGCACAATACGAACGCCCAACGCCAGTGCAGAAACACGCTATTCCGATTATAGCTAGTGGGCGAGATCTCATGGCCTGTGCCCAAACAGGGTCCGGAAAAACGGCAGCCTTTCTAATCCCGATTCTTAACAGAATGATTGAAGAGGGCCCGGGCGGCTCGACTAACGCTGTGGTATGTGTTCTTTTGATAACTTAACCTTGTAGATTGAGTCCAATAGGCGAAAGCAATATCCGGTTGGTCTGATTTTGGCACCGACACGTGAACTGGCCTCACAGATATTCGATGATGCTAGAAAGTTTGCATATCGCTCTTGTATTCGCCCCTGTGTTTTGTATGGTGGCGCAGATATGCGGTCGCAGTTGCTAGAAGTATCGAAGGGATGTAACCTGCTTGTGGCTACTCCTGGTCGCCTCAATGATGTGATGGAACGCGGTCGTATCGGTTTGGATCACTGTCGGTATGTCATCACTTATAACCTTTAACATTCTCAGCTACTTGATTCTTGATGAAGCCGATAGAATGTTGGACATGGGGTTCGAACCTCAAATTCGCCGTATCGTTGAACAAGATAATTTACCTCCCTCAGGGAAACGACAGACCCTAATGTTCTCGGCCACTTTTCCTCACGAAATTCAGGTACGACGTTTTTGTCTATTGATGCTTCTTAGATGCTAGCAAAGGATTTCCTCAGCCGGTACATTTTTTTGGCAGTTGGACGCGTTGGAAGCACGAGTGAAAATATTACTCAGTCGATTTTATGGGTTGAAGAAAACACAAAACGAGATGCTCTAGTTGATTTACTCTCAAGTTCTGGTACATGCACTATTTCCATTAAATATATTTTCATAGATCCGGGTATTCTTACCTTGATTTTTGTCGAGACCAAACGTGGCGCTGACTCTTTGGAAGATTATTTGTACAGTCAAAAATTCCAGGTGGCTAGCATTCATGGGGATCGCACTCAAGATGATCGCGAACTGGCGCTGTCATGTTTCCGGACTGGTCGGACTCCCATTTTGGTTGCCACTGCCGTTGCGGCTCGAGGTCTGGACATTCCCAACGTCAAGGTTTGTCCATATAACATCATATCTCTTGTACCCCCTTGTCTTCTCATAATGCGAATAACCATGTACAGTATTGTTACTTTCGCGTCATCTCTTCCCTACATTCACGTTGCATTCGCGAATTCTGGTTCTGTTGGGCCAAAAAGCGTACAGTTGTTATGAAGCAGTTGATCGGTTCGATGCTGCCGTCTAACTAAAGTTGAACCATGTAGTTCGGAATTTCTCGTTATTGTACTGATTTTCCTACTATTTTCTGATATCTGAACTGGATCCTCCTTACTGCACCCGTACGGCTTATTTGACGATACACATCTAGCGTAGGGCTTGAATCCACTTCGTGCCTACCAAACTATGGAAAAGGAAATCTAGCGTTCCTACATAGCAGTTGTTAGTCGAAAGCTGTAGGCAGCCATAACATTTCCGGCCACCTCTACAGTTCTATTCTCTGCTTATCAGGTGACGTGTGGCTTCACCATCTGAGCATGCTGGCAGTGCAACTAAGCATGACATTAACGTGCTACTTTGGCACTATACACATGCCTTTCGAACCACTCTTAGCAAACATCATTGACCAAAGGTCAGCATACCACATTCTAAGGCTAATCTTCATCGGTACTTCGGGTGTAGCCGATGACCTTTTTTCTAAATTTAGCACTGGCAAGCAACAGTCTACAGTTTGCAAGCTCAGCTTGATCGTTGTTGCACACGTGTCGCTGATTGCCAGTGGTTTGTTGCTGCCTGTTGTAAGTTAGGTGGCCTTACTAATCAATAACGTGCGAACCCATCGAAACCCATTTGTCGGTAATCGTCGTTAAAAAGTTCACTAGTTATTCGGAATCTTCCAAAGCTGCGTTTCCCATTGGGGCTGGGCAAGCGCACTCCTAGGCTTGTTCTGCTTCTCGCTTCATTGTGAGACAGAGGCCAGCAATTGTGCGCCTCAAACAAAATCCTCCATGAGTGGGTGAGTGGGGAGTATTATGTGTCCACAATAAACCGTGGCCAGCAATCTTTCCCTTTCTCCCGTTACCTTTCCACGAACTTTCTCGCATTAACCGTTAAGGGAGCGTTACTGGCTTTATCGGGCATGATATCAGAGAAGGGTAAATTTAAGGAAAGAGAAGAAGTGGCGATTCCCGACGTTGAAACTGCAGTGACAAGATTACTCGTTGAAGAAGCAGTGGACATCCGCTGATTCCAACAGCCGGGGTAGCCGAATCTTACGTTGGCCGGACGCGTGTCAGTGAACAATGCAAATTGTTTGGAAAAATGAACAAGCATTTACTCCCTATGCACTGTAAGGGCATTGAGCTCAGTATGGCGACATCGCTAAGGAAGAAGTGTAAAACAGGCCGATAGATACTTGAGGACTGAGGGACAATTTGGGACAGCGTAGAGTATCGACCTGGAATTGGCTATTCCACTCCAATATGACAGCCTTGCGGTCTATTGTATTTGGCATAGTCATGATCTCTTGTGCTTTTGATACCGCTTGTGCTTACGGTGTTCGTGTGGAGCACCGTATTGATGGTGGGTTGCTGAACATCCGTCGTTTCGGTGCGAGAACTCTAGTCTGTGAGACAGCTATCCGTATGTTGCTGTTCGCTGACGACTGTGCGTTGTTTTCACACAGCAGCACATGATTAGTGCTGTGGCTTCGACAGCGGCCAAATTCGGGAGCACCATCAACACAAGCAAAACTGTCTGTCCCTTTCAACCTTCACCGGAGGTGCAATATTACCGCAAATCAACATTGGTGATGACTTATTGGAAACCAACTCATGCTTCTGCTACCTTGGGAGTGTGGTGTCGACTGACCAGCAGCTACACAGTGAGCTTCGTATCCGCGTCTCGAAGGTAGCGGCGGCATTCGGGCAGCTAGAGTACCGAGTGTGGAACAATTATCAGCTTACCGTTGGCACGAAGCTGATGGTGTACGAATCCATGGTTCTGTCTGTTCTATGCGGCAGTGAAACGTGGACCATTTACCCGCGGGATGTGCGACATCTCGAGCCGTTCCATCAACAGTGTCTACGACGGATTCTGCGCATTGGTTGGTGCGACAGAGTTGCGGACACGGAAGTGTTGCGCAGAAGTGGAATGTATGCAATCGACTGCATACTTTTGCTGAGACACCTTAGGTGGCTCGGTCATGTGTAGCTCGGCTAACTCTGTTTGAGGAGACCAAATCAGGTCGAAACCGTCGGTCGCGAAGTGCAGTGATGGAAGCGAACCACACCAAAACCCTCCAATTTATTTACTTATTTGAAGTCAACACATCCTGGAAGGTGCTAACAACGCTTAAGGCAGAAAACAGCCACGTCAAGCCGTTTCCTGTGTCGCTACTGGAAGCCACCAAAACTTAGAGCGATTTTGGCACACGAACGCGTGAGGCAGATACTCTAAATTGATTTGTTTGCGGCCCGTCAGCAATAACTGAGGGCGTGATCAATTTGTGTCGGCTGCTGGCCAGGTGATGGGGTTCTCCTGATGGCGCGTTGGCACCAGGATTGCCGAAAGCCATTACTCGACAGGAAGAGGTCGTGATCGGCACAGAGCTGAAGTAGGTGATCACCGTTGTCTGTTCTGCGAGTGCCATGGCCGTGTTGACCACCGAGTTCACGTTTGTCTGCTGACCTGCGCGTTTAAGTTCGTGGCAACCACTACAGCGTCTGTACGGCGCATTTTCAGAGATCGGACAGTTGACAGTAGAACTCATCTTTGACTGATTCCAGGCTGCAGTCTGTGAGAGCATATGCTGTTACAAGGAACAGCGGACGTCTGCTGGTTCCGCGACTGGATAATCACATTGAGGTTTCAAGTCGGATCGCGCAGACTCGACTATTGACAGGAATCCAGTCTAGTAGCGCGGCCTCAGGGTATTTAAACAAACGTGGAATACACTAATGATAGTGATTCTGTAGGGTGCAGCTTAGCATGTTCCGCCACCAGCACCTCAGTCGAATATAGGATTGTCAGAGAGCGGATCAATCGAGCGGAGAGTCGTTGAAACATTGGTCTATAAGTTATGGGGGCATGCTGCTTCTCTGTTGCCCATATCAAAGAAGACGATTGAATTAGAGCACACCACCCGGTGTCTTTGGTCATAGAGACCTGATCCACAAGGCAACGGGGTGATTGACGTTTATCATAAACCGTTGGGAGGCGGCTACTACGGTGAGGATAACACGGTTTTCGAGTTGGAACTAACTAATCAGGACGCTCAAGGATTCCGAGTAAAGCAACATAGAGAGCAGCAGAAATTTTTGTACCTTCTTACTGGTTTGCTAGCACGAAGGACGTCAATAGCCATATGCCCTCATGGAAACCGGTGGTCATCGAGGTACTACATCTGCCCTCCGTTAGGTACTCATCTCTGGTCGCAGGAGTAAGTGGTCGGTGATCTTATAGCCGGTCACATTGGCTTTGACACAGGCTCCTACGAACTGTTGTAATATTTAATGAGGAGCCAAGTGATTAGCCCAGAACCCTCCACGCTCTAGGACACTGCCTCTGATTGTTCGCGACTGCTTGTTTATCTCGCTTGCGAACAGCCTTAGTGTTATTCGCAGTTGCCTTCGCAAAGAAGGCGTTTCCCGATCCGCAACTTGGCTACGCGCCCAATGGCGTATAGCTCTGTCGCACTAACCACTGGTCTATTCACTTCCGGGATATGTACATAAGAAGACCGAGGTGTTGCCAGCTTTCGGTACTGATCCAAGAATATGGCAGTGCAACCATAAGAATAGCAACGAGGAGTTCCTAAATTACTCAGACTGCATTGGCGAGGTACTAAGACTTGCAATGGAATGGGAATCGCACTCCCCTTCCTTCATTAACTGATCCACAGAAAGAAATGAATTCTAAAAACGACAATGTGTCGCAAATCTGTGGATAACGATGGAATAGGTACTATAGTCAAGACCACGTAAAGCATGTTTATGTGGGGATCGCCTTATCACTTTCACAGTGCGAGTGTTCTGTGCTCAGATAAAGACGATGAAAATACTGTCCCAATAGAGGCGCTAAATGAGACAGTATTTAGCGGATATCTGAAGCAATTGGTGAAACACCATCCACAACAATGTTTTACTTTACGTGCGAAATCAACCACGGAGTCGATAGCGACAGTGGGTATTCCGTATGAAGAATGGAACTTCAGGGGCAATTCAGAGCTTATTGAATTAGGCGAATATCAGAGTAGTTTTCTGAAAGAAGCCAAACCCTACGGTCGATGCAAGTACTTTTGTGGGGTTCCCTTTCTTCAGTACTAATAATTGCATTTAAGAAATTCCATGTGAAGATTGTGCACATGTGTATACAGAAAAATCGGCGGGAGAACTGCGCACGAAAATTTCAGGACATAGGCGACGCATGTCACGGCCGTGGAGTATAGAGCTCTGCTAAGGGATTCCGCGGTAGCAGTACATGTGCTAGGCGAAGGACATGAAACCGTGATCGTCAGAAAGGAGTTGTAATCAAATCCAAGAAGGCTAAGTACTGTCACTGTGGAAAGTTCCAAAGAATAGAAGGAGTAAGGGTGTCGAGTGCCAAGCGTCCAGTCATACTCCTGTCAGATCGATAAACATTGGTGGGTAGATCCGAACTTAAGACATTATGTATCAAGGCAGTTTCCCGTCAGCCATTTGACCAATTTCATCTCGGTAAACCATGTAAAATTGACCTGGGATTCTGCGATAGTTTTCTGACTGCCACTTTTTGTTCCGCACTTGACCCGGCTTTAAGCTAGTTCACTTAATCTAAAGTGAAACGTCATTCAGCAAAATATTGATCTGTTGCTGCTGTGGAGCCCTCATGGGTCCACAGACGTTCCACGCCGAGTCGTTTCCCTCTCGTTGATCCCGTCCCACTGGTTCCGCATTTCAACTCACACAGATGACAATTCTACCGATGTTCCCTCGGTGTCACCGTTGTCTACTTCTATCACGTCACTTATCAGGCGAAAATTAACTTGCCGCAATCATCCCGTGATTCCCTCGGTAACA